CGTCACGTCGTCATCGCAGACCACTCTGATGATTTCACCGGAGTATGTCCACGACTTGAACGTGGGCGGTTTGCTGTTGTTGCTGGAGGCGGAGAAGATGATCTTGTCCAGCTCCTCCAACAGTTGTTTTTTGATGAGACTCTCTCGTTCTGCGGTAACCTTACCGTACGGGTTAGTCTCATCTATGATGGCTACCTTGAGGTGTCTCAAGGCGGCCTCCACGAAGGTTTTGGAAGGTGCAGCGACATTTCTGTCGCTGCGCAGCTTCTTCAACCTTCTTGGGGTTCCCTCCGTGGAGGTACTCGCGTGAGGGCGCTTTCCTGCAGTGGCAGCCGGTTCCTTGCCTTTTTTCAAGGCGGAGCTCTTGGCGCCCGCCGCAAGAGGTGCCCTTGTTGTTGGAGATGGAGTGGGAGAGGGGGAGGGTGCACTCATAGTTGCTGTAACTCCTGCCTCTTTCGCTCTCTTTCTTCTCTTGGCCTCGGCGCCGCTAATACGCTTACGCCTTTGCATTACATCGCGAGGTGGTCTGCTATGTCCAGCCTCATTCTGAGTGGTAGCTTGGGGTGAACATTTCTGTTCACCCCAGCCTCGGGATGTGTTGTTTTTTATTTGTTTTGTTTGTGTGTCTGTGTTCATGTGTGTTCCCACGAGTAGCAAGGGAAGGGTTGGTCACCTCTGCCAGAGCCGCGCATTACCAGAGGAAGGCTAATTACAATGAGGCTTCGCCCGGTTCCTCAAGAGGATCGTTCGCATATCACCCTGCGGCCATTCAGCTGTCATGTTTTGCAGTGCTTTTGGGGGGTTATAGTTCCCCTCACCCTACTTATTTCTGCCACTGACCAGGAGTCGGGCAACCCTGTTCGTAAGGCCACATTGTCTTCCCGGACAGGGCCTCCAGTCCCCTGGCCGTTCCCCTATCCGCCACCTGGGGACGCGCCCGATAGGTAGCCCAACCCACGGGAACAATCTAGCACAGCGGTTCCCAACCTTTTTTCACTGCCGTACCCCTTGAGATAAATTTATTTCAAATTGTACCCCCAAGAAAAAAAAGTTGCAAGAACATTATTCATGGAAAGTAAATATTCACGCAAGAGTTTTTTTTTATTCCTGCATAGAGGTGTGTCCACNTGAAATCAATATCAAAGGTTGATAAATACACTCTTAAATCAGGACTTGCATTCAGCTTATTCCTATACTTATTCTTAATGAAAGCATAGAAAGAAAACGATCTCTCAACTAGTTCTGTGTTTGTAAAAAGGAAGTAAAACCAGAAGGGCTTGTGTGGTCCCTATTCATCCCTAATGCTCACCCAGAATTGTCCAAAGGGTTTCTTCTTGAACTTGAAAGTTCTAGGAGCTGTTCCATCTCATGAACGGTCAATGTAGCAGTCTTGACGTTTTCTTCATTGAAAGGATCTGCAATCCAGTTCTCTCCGTCACCTCGTTTAGGAAAATACTTTCTAAAAGAGTCCTTCAGGTGCAAGCTACTGTGTAAGCGAACTATGCGAGCACTGACTGACGGTACGGTAGCAGTGCATTGTGATAGATAGTGGCTAAGTGAGTGGGGGAGGGGGAGCGGCAGAGGGCGAACTGACCTTGACGAGCGAGCGTGAGTCAGACCATCGGACGATTCGGCGCGCCAGTACTGTACTGTACTGTACTTTTCAACCACCACGTACATAACGTACGACAAACACATAAAGTCCGCCATTACCAAATATTTTCGGCGTACCCCCAACCAGGTCGTTGCGTACCCCCAAGGGGTACGCGTACCCCAGGTTGGGAACCGCTGATCTAGCATATTAAACCTTTTCAATATCTGATAAATATATTCTATCTGAGATGTATAATTCCTTTTGATTTATTCGTAATGTGCTGTGTCTAATAACCTTTGGAGAAAATGTTTCAAAAGTTTATACCTTCTTTTGATATAAAACTTTTAGCCACTAATCTGGCCCTATAACTTACGTCACCTTCACTATCAAATTTAGTTTCCAAAACCCACTTATAAGCCAAAAATAAGTGGGTTTCAAAATACAATAAATTATACCGGTTCCAATGTTTTACCTATAAGTGCAGGAAAGATCAGACCCTAACAGCAAAGTTTAAAAAAATCTGTTTAAAATCTGTTTTTTCCGTTAACCAGCTGTCGCGCCCCTACGAACCACAACCCTCAGAAGTCGAAACTTGTGCGAGCTAAGGATTAATGAGGTCTTACCTTTTAACGTGTGATTCCTAACATGGTTTAGACGATAGCAAGTGAAGATCGATCGGCTTGGCGATTCAAAAAACACACCTCAATTGAGATTTCCACTTGAAAGTTTACAAAACCGCGACACGTGTTTCACTATACGATACCATCCTCGGGCGTCACAATACTGTTTTTATACATTCTGTGTCGTGCTTCCATAGACCCCAACTCAGCTTAACTGCATGTATGAAACCTTCGTCTAAGAGAAATATTATTATTACAGTTGCATTATTACAGTTTTTATTACATTTCTAGGTCCTTGGTTGATACGAAAAGCAAGAAGAGATATCGCAGCGAAGTATAGGGATGTTGTTGAAGATACTGAGGTTATTACAGAGTATAAATTATTTATTATTTCATTTGCAATTCGTATTTAAAGGGGCGAATCGGCTTTTCAAAGAATGAAAGAAAATTTAGTTTGGGCAAAAAATCCGATGGTTCACAGGTTTCAAAAGTTGAGCAGAGATACGCCAGTAACTATACTGTATGGAAAAGAATCTTGGATAACACAAATACCCGAGGAAGTCTTCAAAGAGAAAAGGCCAAATTCCTTCATCAAAGTTGAAGTAAGTACTTGCCTATATAATTCCGAGATCAATTTATGTAAAGCGTTCAACATTGACAACATTATTATTATTATTATGGGAAGTAAATAATACGCAAAAAGAAGGCCAATCGCTCGAAAAAAAAAACGAAGGAGGCAATATTGTAACAGAAAAATATGCAATCGCATATTTTTCTGTTATCGCATTTATATATATTCCACCTTAGGCAAAAAATGGCAGACAAGATAAATAATAACTCGAACTTCTCATTTGTCTCTGAAACTGTTCCAAGTTTTTTGGTTCTTCTCCCCACCAACAGAAATGAGTTCAAAGAGGTTATCAAAGAGCTGAAAACAAAGAAGTCCTCTGAAATTGACGGTATCTGTTCTGAAGTCCATCTCCTGTTATATCAAGAAGCCCTTGGCATTCATTTTTAATAAATGTGTGGAAAATGGTTTACAGCCAATAGCTCTCAAAAATCCATAATAACCTCATTATTTAAAAAAGTGATGAAACGGACGTTATGAACTACCGACCCATATTACTTCACTATACACCTGAACAAAGTATTTGAAAAGATATTAAAAAAATGCAAACATTGCATGTCTCAAAATATAATATTAAATCTGACTGTCAATTTGTGTTTTGCAAAAAATTATCTACTCATGCCTATGTGTATTACGTTTTTTCCCGTGGGTAGATCAATAATTGACAACAATGAATAATCAAATTTAACTTTATTTCACTTCAAATACGACAAACACTTCAACTAAAACTTCAACTATTATTTGAATGTCTACTGCCTTACTAGGTCACTTCGCGTACCGCACTGTAACGTCAACTTAACTGTGTGAATGTCTATCGCCTTACTTGATCACTTCGCGTATCGCGCTGTATCTTCCACTTGACTGTGTACTTGACTGTCTCGATACGCTCGCAGTCGGCGTTTAAATATCATAATCGAACATCGTAGAAATTTCGCCGAAATTCTTGCTTCTTCTCGAGCGGCAGGAAACATTGGGCATTCCCGCGCTCTTAGCTACGTTACGTTTGGTTTATGGTTACCAGTGACGGCCGGCGTTATTTCCTTTCGGGCATGATCTACAACAGTATTCATTAACTTGTTGAAAGCGTTCGACACAATTGACTACAACCTTTAATGCGCTTGCTTCCATCATATCTTCCCAATTGTATGTCCTGTTCTGCCACATTTACCTTCTTCGAAAAAAAGATACTTTTCAAGTATTGAATTCAAATTTTTTTTTGCCATTCTGAACTCCTCCAGGTCTCTATTAGGAAAAAAAACTTGTTGCTGAAGATGTGTAAGGCAATGGTTGTTTGTGCATCTAAATAGAAAGCAGAAAAAAGTGTACCGTTTGTTGTCAGCAAATAAACTTATTGGGTTTCTGCTGTTTTTCATTAGATTGTTGATTTATAACAGAAAAAAGGGTTGGAGACAATATTGTTTTCTTGACGAACACCAGCATTGATGTTATAGGTATCCGAGAGAGAACTATCGATGGCTACTTGTAAGCTACTTGAGAAAGATGGGGAGCCACGAACAAAAGTCCTTATGCCAAACACAATCAGTGATTTTACAAGTAGAAATCACAAATCAGAGTTACTTAGTATCAAATTAAAAAGATAAATGAGAATTAAAACTTCATATGTTTATACCACTTTGTATTTGTAACTAACATTAGTTCAGTTTCATCCTACAAGGACATTTTTAAACGAATACAATAAACTGAAATGATTAACAATGTATACCCTTATTTACCTGTAAAACCACTGTAGGTATTAACAAATGGTCCTTAGTGACTTTATTACCGGAATTATTTCCACCTGTGATAATGTGGGTACTCTAGTCTGAAAACCATCGAATAGACCAGCTCAATTTGGTCATTTAGTAGGTTACATGTGCAATTCTTATATTTGTGAATTTCCAAGGATTCCAAATAATTGAGTTTCCAACCCTTACCTGCATAGTGCAAGATTTCTGTATCGTTTAGATTCGGGAGCTTGTGGTTGCATTCCAAGGAATGGTTTGAATTTAATATAGTGGACTCCATGCTGTTCATAAAAGTGGACTAAGGGTTGAGCCTATTGGTAAACCTGATTCCTGTTCATAGTTACTACCAAGTAGTTACAGCTACATCCATCAGTTTATCAAATTAAAATTATCATTTTTTAAAAGATGAAAGATAAAGATGTCTTTGGGTGTAAAATTTAAATTATAACATAAAGCTTGCTTCTTTTTTTTGATGTTGTACCCATATTAAAAATCATTTTTTATAAACGGTTGAATAATTAATATAATCCTGTAATTAAAAATAAAGAATCCAGTAATATCTGAATAGTCCCGAATACGTCCCAGTACAGACTCTTGTAGCACTCTTAACTTTCTTAACCCTACTGATACTCTTTTCCCGCACAGTGGAACTAAAGTAGTATCTCTCGCACGGGAAATGCACGTCGCGAGGAATTGTTCTAGTTTTAGTTTCCGAAAAAAGTAATCAGATGTATTCAACCTATCAAATTTTTCAATGACATTTTAGATTATACCAGATGCAGGACATCACATCAACGCTGATCAACCAATGCTATTCAATGAAGCTGTCTGCGAAACATGTAAACAATCTGATATCTCCGGATACGTCATTGAAACTGAAATGACTGAGGGAGAAGAAAAAGAGGTGGAGGAAGAAACGAGAGAAACTCTCAAAAACAAAATAGATCCAATATGTGAAGAGAATCTGCATAATTTACAACTTTGTAACAATAAAATATGATAAGAGTAATATCAAAGATTTGGAAAGCTTTAATTTTCCCAGTGATATGTGCACTTCTCAGTATTATTTTGATTTCAGGGTAATAGGATGCTTGGATTAAATATGTGAATGACACTGTGGTTTTATTCATAACTAGATATTTATTTATCAGTATAGCATTGTTGTACAAGCAAAAAGGAAATTTACGAGGGATGAAAAATTATAAACCAGTGCCCTATTGCAACCAAAGTCTTTATTATAAGTATAGTGCGACTGATTTAGGTGAAGCAATAATAGTAATAACTATCTTCATTGATGAAATGCAAATAGGGGAAGTTGATAATAGTAACATAAATTAATATGCACAGACAGTGCGGACGTAAAAAGTCTTTCCCACCTCTCAACTTTTGAAAGGGACAAGATATGAAGGTCAACAAAATTTATGTAAAAGGTCTCATTTTTAGTATTTTGTGATAAAAATGACAGTAGTGTTGCATCACTTGCCGCTGTGGAGGTACCATAGACTTTTTCCAAACAGGAAGAAGGCTTTTGTGACACCTAATTGATATAGTATTTTTTTTATTTGTTTTAGGAACCTGCGAAAAACATAAATATCCTAATTTCAATAAAGAAGATATTCAAAACTCCCCCCAGTTCATACCAGTAAAGGTTTTCACCATTTACTTTCTTAAATTATGAAATGTTTCTGAGGTAGTTTTCTTAGGAGCGCCTCTTATTTTATCCACGAGGAAGAGACTGTGTGTAACATATATTTTAGATTTCAAAAATCATTACAAACAAATCTAAGCGTCTTAACAGGTATTCTGGTGGGCCATTATGAGTAATCACTTTTGCCTATTCACAAATTTGGATAATTGACATCTAGCAAGTATCTATCTCATCATAATAAAGAATCTTACCTTGCTGAAGCCTAGTATTAGTTGAAAACTCAATTGAATTAAACAAGATCAGAACTCATGGCTAGAATAAAGGTGCTTGGAATTACACCAGAAATATTTCATAATGTAAGAAATGAACTTCATTATTGTCAAGAAATGATTGGTGAACATTCAATTATACACTGTTACATTTATATAAACAGGAGTGAGTCTTGAATACATGTTTTTCTCGAAATAATGATTTTTATCTTATATTCGTAGATTCTTGAAACGAACACAGAACTGATATTACTCAGGAACTGTTAAGTTGATATACAAAAATAAGATGTTTAGTTCAGTAAAAATCTCGCAATAAAGTGTTTCTTGAATACGTTATGGATTTTCATCAAGTATGGGCCGATTCCATCACATATTGTAAGGTCAGCAAACATACAATTTTGTTTCATATGTAATAGTTTTAAAAAGTCCTTACAGATTGTAAGAAACTTCTCATGTGACACTAAATGTATTATAAAGGTTATATCATTTATGTTTCAAATTCATAAATATATTCATTGAATATTCGAATGATATAATAATAAAAAATGACGAAGAAATTTAGAGCAGAACTCGTATCCAATTTTTTCTTTCAAATAGTAGGACCTATCTGGAAAAAATCCATTATGTAAAAAATAGAACACATTGAAACATATTCATTAGTATGGGTAACTATACAAATTCAGAAAGAGACTAAATCGAATGACCACTTTGAGTAAAACTTCTACTTCAAGTTAGACACTAAGTAGTAATTGAAATTGAAGAGAGGATATTTTTAGGACATATAATGTTTCGGGAAAAAGCTTTTTGGCATTCTACTTCTTTGTCTTTATACAAATAATGTGAAGAAAATAATTAAGTCCAAATTAAACCCTTCACAAAGATGTGTAGATTATACACAGAAGTTTCTTTTAGATACAAACAATAGTTTTCACAGGTTAGGTCCAAAGTGAGTGGGTCTATTCGACCCTCCTAAATGCAACCTGCAAGGCTTTACTGTGGCTAGTTTTCACACGAACGCTACACATTAACACAATGTAATATATGAAAGAGTATTGATATAAAATTTCATTTACATGGAAATCTACCATCATTGAGGTATAACTCTTGAAGTTTCAGGCATCTCAGATCACTATGCTCAAATATTGACATATAACAAAAATAAAATACAATAAATAAGGCAAATATTGAAACAAATTACATCATCACTCGAAGGATAAATAAACAGTCTCTTTTAGAATTCAAATCCTTAATACATACAGACACTTTCTCTTACAAAGAGGATGAAAGTGTGGATGTCATGTTCAATAATTTTTTCATGCATTTTCAGTGGTGTTTGGATGTAACAATTACTAAACAAAAAATTAAATCAAAGAAACCAAAACTGAATAAGTATCATTCCCAAGAGAACTTCAACTAAGAAGCAAATTGATAACAAAATTTCTCAATATAAAAGAACTATTATTCCAGTACAGTTGCCTCCTCTGATAACAAGGCAAATGCTCTGTGGAATTTGCTAAATATCAAGACTAACCACATAAAAAAACAGGAAATCTCATTAAATGTAGATAATGAAATATTAGCAGATAAAACACAGGTAGAAAATATTTATGGGAAGTACTTTGCAAATTCTGTCAGAGAGAAGCTAGACTCTCTTAACCTCCCCGTTGATCTGTGCACAAAATCACCCGTCACAATTCCTAAATCTATGTTCTTTGCTCCTGTGACTGAACATGACGTCAAATCTATTGTGTTAGTCTTGAAAAAGAAATTTTCCACTGGCATAGATGAAATACCAGCAATTCTACTGAAAGAGTCCATTGACAATATCTCAAGTACATTAGCCATTATTATAAATCACTCTGTCATTAGTGGAGTGTTCCCAAATAAATTGAAAATATCAAAAGCAATTTGGGTCTTCAAGACTGAGGATACCCAGTGCGTGGAAAACTACAGAATGATATGTCTGCTGAGCTGTTTTTTAAAAATTATGGAAATGGCAGTCTATAATCAAATAACATCATACCTAACTAAACATAATTTATTAACCCCACAACAGTTCGGATTCCGACCTGGCTATTCTGTCGAAACAGTCTCAGCAGATCTTGTACAATATATACATGATAGCATCAACGAAAATAAGCTTGTCGCTGGACTATTCTTTGATCTGTTTCGTGCATTTGACACAATCAACCCTAGGTATCTACAAATAAAACTGGAAGCTCTAGGCATTCGAGGTCCAAGTTAAAAATGGAACGAGTCATATATGTCCGGTAGATCTATTAAGGTGCAGGTTGAGAATCAGTTCCCCGAAAATTTTGATATAAAGATTGGCACACCCCAAGGTGGGGTTCTTGGGCCACTGCTATTTCTGCTATATGTCAACGACCTTCGTAACCACATTAGTCAAGGACGTATTTTCGTATATCCAGACGACACAACAATCGTTACAGCTGAAACTATCAATCAGGTACAGGCTAAAATAGATACTGTAATAAAATAATTTACATACTGGTGTGAAGTAAATCACCTCATCAATAATGCAAATAAAATGGTCTCCATTGTATTCGCTATCCTTAAAGTGCAGTAATAAAGTATCAATGAATGTTGGTAACACAAGTTCACAACTCAAAATCAACGAGATTCCTAGGCCTCGAACTAGACCAAAAACTTTCTTTCAATAGACAAGTTGATGCTCTGTGTAAAAAACTCAACAAGCTGTACTTTGCATTTATCACTCTGAAATCGAGTTTTCATAGGCATCACCTAGTAAACCTATATTATTTTTTAATATACAGTATCATTAGTAGTAACATCATTGTTTGGGGAAGAGCTACAGACACATGTAGAATTTTCATATCACAAAAAAAATCCATAAGGTTAATATATTGTAACGAATTAAAGAATTAACTGTCTCAAACAAATTTATTTTTAACAATATTTCACTTTTACAACTAATTTATATACAACACTTAGCAACTAACGCTTAATTTATCTTCACAGTTAGATTTCTTTCTTTAAACGCACGATTCACTTTCTAAGTACAGACTACTGCTCGGGACGGAAAGCGGCCTTTTTATATCGTCAACGAACGCTCCGGATCTCTCTAGGGATTTCGGCACTGGCCAAGATTATTCGCGGTGGCTCATCGAGTACGTTCCCGATGAGTCATGCGTTTGCTCGCTGAGATATCGGTCAGGGTCGGCTTCAGATTCATTACATTGCCCCCTTCTTAAAGACGTTTCGCCCCGAAATGTCATCCTTGGCGTGTGTCGATACCTGCAGGACTCTCCATATCTGCACTGTGAAGTTTGATGGAAGTAACACTCTACAGTCTTTATGCTCGGTCGTGGAAGATGGTTACCGCACACCAAAATCTGGATGCCGCTGGATCTGAAGATCGTTTCCAACATGCTTCTCACAATTCTCCAGTCCAGCCTGTTGAGCCCAGAGGCTATTTTCGGGATTGCCAAGTCCACGAGATTCTGGTCGAACATCATCTCCTTCAGTCTAGTAAGACTCCTCCAGACATCTTCATAGGACGGTTTGTCTCGAGAATGCTTTTTGGTCACCAAGTAGAAGATGTTTCTCTTACCCTTCTTCAACTGTAGCGCTCCTCCGACTTCTGGATTCTGTTCTCGTAATGTTTGGAGCTGACCGAATTTCTTGTTGAATACCACAGCGATACCCTTGGACAATTGGAGATCCTCTGCCACGCAGTGAGCTAGTGCGTAATCAACTGGAACCATGAAAAGGTCTCGTGGATCTTCTCGAGTTACCCCATATGTTCGACCTTCTGTCCGTTCGAATATAAGGTCACGAATTGCTGGAACGTCATCCCATCCTCTAGGGGTCTGAGGGCGGAAACTTGGTCGTGATTTCCAGCATAAGGCGCCAATCTATTGAAACGGACGACCCTAGGCTTTCTTCGAGGTGGCTTATGGATTCGGTAGATGAGGTCATTAATCTTTTTCATGATTTTGTACGGACGTTCCCACGAGTTCCGTAACTTCGGTGATAAACCACGGCGTCGCTTAGGGTTGTACAGCCAAACTAGGTCACCAGTTTCGAATTCTTCAGCATTCGCCTTGATGTCATAGGCCTTCTTCATCCTATCGCTGGCACTCCGGATGTTCAGACGGACTCGTTCATGGATGTCGTCCATTCTCTGCCGAAGCTTCTGACATAGTCTTTTCCCGC